GAGTTACAGCACAGACAGAAGAAAGGAGGACAAAGAGAGAGGGAGAGAAATGTAGAAAATAGGCAAGATGTGTGGTTTAATATTCACTCCAGAGTCTATTTTGTGAGGTGAATACATATGAGCATGTTGTGGCCTCTTCATCAGCTTTGTATTTATTTTCAGCTCATCTATAGCATATTTTGACACACAGCACAAAAAAACATCAAAGCTTTCTGTCACAATGCTGTGTTGTAAGAATTGCTTCTTTCCATCTCTTCTGTCACAGTCTTTAGTGAGGATACGTAAGCACATTTCTTCAGATATCTGCCTTAAACAAACACTTTCTTCACTGTCCAAGACTCCTCTTTAATTTCTATTTTATTGGGGTGTTAGGATACATTCAGACAGTGGGAATAAAACACAAAAATATTTTTTTTTCAATATTTAAAAATGAGTAAGATGGAATACTTCAGTTCAGATTTGAGAAAGTTTTAAGTATCAATTTCATAATTTTATTATATTTTTTCACATCTTTAAAATTTTAATAAATTAACTCAAAGTAACAAATTTATATATCACTCCTAAAAAAATGATGTAAAATAAATCAGAGTTAAATAATTATACTTAAGTTATTCTTTTTGTTAATTGATTCAATTAAACTTGTAATTGAAGTATAAGTTCAATTACAACTTGAACTTGTACTTTGTAATGTGCAACATCCTTTCAGGTATAAATGTAGTGTGAGACATAAACTCACTGTGTTCAATGGGAAAAACATGAAAACATGCCATTCACATCAGAACATGTCAAACTCGAAATAGTTGCTCACGTGAACTTGCTAATATCTAACAATGAAAAACAAAAGAAGCCAAGTCCACGTGTTTTGTAAAGAATCTGCTCAATCAATTTCAAAATGGCATTCCATTTATTGTATTTTATGTTCATTACAGTCTGTTGCAAATGTGAAAAATCTTGAGAATACTGCCCATTTCTTTTTTTACATGTAGTATGAAAATGTAACATAAAAGAATTTAATGTTACTTAACATTAAATTTACGTTAAGTAAAGAATTGTCCAGTTAACCATTGAAAAATACTCAAATTAAAAAGCCATAAAGGGAAGCTGTAAAGCAGATGCTAAATTCAACATTGTTAACAGCTAATGGCATTCAGATAGTAATCACAAATTGATCACATATTTGATTATGTAACAGAGATCCTAATGCTCAGGGTCAGGAGAGGCGACATGATGGTGGAAATGACAGAAAGTAGGGAAGGAAATGTGGGTTAATGGCAATCAATACCTTCATCACAAAACTCAATAATAATACTGCAATGTCATGTTTCACTTTCAGTGTATCGCTCCACATTCAACTCCACATCACCTTATCAAAAGGTTGATCTTGCTTCCCTCCAGTAATTCTCATCTTACCTTTTTAATATATTTTTTTTTTATCTAAGTTACTTTTTTTTATTATCATGCATAATTGCAGAAAGGATGGAAAAGTAGAAAAGACAAGAGAGGTTGTCCAAGAGGACAGTCTGAAGAGAAGTGAAGGAAATAAAGAGGCAGAGGAAGAATGGGTTATTTTTGGCAGACAAGGATAATAAACAGAGATGTGGCACCAGAAAACGCAGCCACAAGAGGAGGGAGAGAAAGACGGAGAGAAAGAGCTCTGTTGCCAAATACAAACAGCCAGAGGAGAAGAGGTAACAGAAATGGCCAACAGACAGAAAATGTATGATATAATAAGAGAGGGGGTGGCAGATCACAAGAATACAAAACTTCATGTAGGACGTTGGGTTGGAGATGGCATAAAGATTAGAAAAAAGCGAGAGGTTGAGACTGGGGGTGGCGGTGGGAGGTTGGTGGGACAGAGACAGTGTGGGAGAGCACTAAAAGAGAACGGAGAGGAAAGCCTGAGAAGGAGAGAGCCTATACCCGGATCAATGGATAGCCTGTCCTCTGCTGTGTCTGCATTTCCTCTGGGCTCTCACACTAAGGCCCTCTAACTACACTTGGGAATAAGAGTGAGTGTGTGTGCGTGAGAGAGTGGGTTTTATTTTTGTGTCCATGCTCATGTGTGTGAGGAGTGAGAGGAGCTCTTTCTCCACTGGTCATTTCTATAAATCAGAGGTCAATACTTGGTCTTTCAATGAAAATGTATAGTTTCTTACAGAAACCTTCGAGTTTGAATCTTTTAGACTAAAGAGTCTGTCAGAATGATTAGAAAATTCTAGGCGTGTACAAAAAACTCCAGCTCATGAAACAGAATTAAACCCAAAACTGGATTCACAAGAATTAAAGAATGATTCACAAGTTAAAAAGGCATCTAAATAATTGGCAATTAGTGTAGAACAAGCAATTTCATGTCTGATCTACCCTTACATTACGGACGTTATGCTTGCACAATAGAAATGTGGTTCTATAACCAAGAACATAATTAAAAATGTCCCAGTTGTATGTTTTTAGAAATAGAATACTGCTTCATAAATCTCAAATTGAGTTGTAAAAAAATCTCTCTTAAAATTGGTTCAATCAAATGTGTCCAAATGTGTATGAACAAATGAAGAACTACTGTATTTCTTACTTAAAAACAAAAGTCTCAACTATAGATGCAACTCTTTGTACAACAGCTTGGTCTTTTTTCATCAGATGACTTCACATACTTAGTGAGTAGAAATAAAGCTCGAGGCGAGGTTTATTTTGGCAATAAAAGTCATGGCAACTCAACATTTCGAGAACCTCGATAACATTCCCATGTTTTGTGTGATCATTCAGTGTCCAATGCAGTTGATAAGTCTGTCTGTAGTTGTAAGATCAAAGTTAGTAAGCAGAAGGGTTATTACACCAAATGATTTTTTTATGTCCGGAAAGCTTCACTTTGGTTGTTAAGCCAAGCCAAACAATGCATAAAACGAAAGGGATGATAAATGTGGAATATAAATAGGATTTATGACTTTCAGGGAGTGAATGTGAGTATCGTGACATGTGCACGCTTGAGGCAGTTTGGCTGACCCTTCTGAATCCTCTGCTCACTGTGACTTACAAAAAAGAAAATTATGATGAACGTATCATCCGCTGAACTGATTTCAAAGCCATATCTGAGACTTTTCTGCTGGCTCGCTGAAATAATGCCTACTGAACTTTTCATCTCTTGCTTTTTTAAAATGTAAATTTTACTTGAGTGAATGAACACATTTAATGAGCTTCAGAAGGAAAGAACAGTAGTTGCCTTCTTCCAAAATCACAGAAGCATCTGTAAAGTGCAATCTCCAAAATCACGGGTCTACCAATCAATTTAGTCAGAGCCAACCGCGGGGGATCCTATTTGCCTAAAATGAAGAGCAGTTCCATTGATTAACCTCAGAGAGGATTTCTCTGATTGCTCACAGCTCTGATTTAATTCTGGACACATGGTATTTGGTCAGAGACAGACAGCAGACAACTTGCAGGTAGTCAAGAGTACACGAGAAGAAGGCCACAGCCGCACATTTGACCTGCACAAGGGTATCAGCTCACAGGAGTGTGTGCAGGGGGAAAAAGAGAGATGGGGTAAGACAGTTTGTGACGAGGTGTGTGCATGTGTGTCCTCCAGCAGCCATGATGCATTAGTGTAACCGGATGCCTCTCCTCCCTTGTGAGCCCTAACCTTGAGACAGACAGGGAGGGAGACTGGCTGCAAAGGCGTATTCTGTTATAAATGAAGCTGTCTTCAATGCCAAATTTGTTGAATAATAGGCAGCTAAGACACTTCAAGTAATAAAAAGACATTTTAGCCAAAAGGCCATTTAATGAAATGCAAAAAATGTGAATGATTAACTTGTTAAGCTAAATATGCAAGACTGAAAGCAATTTTTCACATTATACAAGTGTTTGATATTTTTGTGTAAAATCTTATATTTCACAGTTTGCAGTTTCAAATTCAAACACTTTAAATCAAATCAAATAATTTTTGTTCAGATATAATTCAGTTGTCATTTTCTGGTACTAGCACAATGGCTCACCACCCAGAGCAGCACAGTCATGAGGGTGACACAGGCCTCAATAAAATATACTATTCTAAGTAGTAGTGGTTGTTGTTGTAGTATCCCTATAATCAATCACTCATGACTTTTGTCTATAAAACTCCAAATTAAATGTCATTAAATTAAATTAAGCACTAAATTAATGGCCGTTTTAGTCTTTCTTTAAAGGACCTAAAATTATTATTCATCGCACAGAGGATCAATAAGACATGTTTTAAGATTCATTAATTTTATTCCTCAATACACAAAAATCTCGGGGTGTGGTTGGGGATTGAGAGCCCCACTCCAAGGAGCCAAATTTTGTCAAGCTTCCATTCAAACAAAAATCCACTGCTGCAATTGTCAGGAAAAATAAATAAATAAAAAGCAACAGAACAAACTCACTTTGACTTATTTAACAATAAAGTGTATCCAACTGACTTCTGAAATTGCAATACTGACGCAAGTACTTCTGCCTTTGAATAACTGTAGCTGTAATATTCTGACTAGCGTTGTATGTTTAAAATTCTTTGTGCTAATTACAATTAATCTTGCTCTCTTTTGTAGCTAGCTAATTAGCACCAAAAAATAATTACGCAGAATTTTGTCTTAAAACATAAAATACTAATTTTGCTTTCCCGCTGGACTCCGAATAAAGCATTAGCGAAGGGAAGAGATTGTATTAAACCCTTTTTTCAAACTAAATATCATTGAGAAAAGCCATGTATGCCTTGGAGCTTTTTCCTTCATTAAGAAACCTGGGTCATTATTGGCCAAAGCATAAAGAAAATTACAGTTCAAATTCATCAACTTGAGGAATTCCTCATTTCATAATAATAGGGTTTCATTTCCCATTTTATTCTCCTGCATTAAATAATACTATTCCCAGAGCCCATTAAGATACTTAATCATCACCAGATGAAATACACTCTGCCAAAATAATTATGGTCGACGACATTCAGAGATAATTCACAGATAAGATCATTTCTTTGTCTTTTCTTTTTTGTTTTTTACCTTTACCTTTACGTTTCCACTTGCAGCTGCCAGTCTCACAATTCTCTCTTAGTGGTCGTAAGCTTACAAACAGAAGAAAAAAAAAAGGACAAACTGAGATAAAACCACAAAAAGAGACAAAGGGTATAAAAATAGACAGGAAGCTGGAAGAACAATAAATCATTTACAGATATGGAAGGTAGGGTCACTGGAGGTTAAATATTCATGATAGGTGTCCAGTCAAAGCTTTTAAGTCTTAGAGGGTAACATTTTTATTTCCCGCCTCATTCCATGTTTATGTTTGCTGAATCATGCATCAAAGCCCATGTTATAATTCTTTTTATTGCTTTTTTTTTTTTTTTTTTTTTCACTGTCTCTGTCTCTTGAGTGCTAGTGGCACATCGGTATCCAGGGCATTGTGAGACACATGGGGAAGAAGCATTAACACTCGCTTTAATTCTAAGGAAACGAAAGGAAGCACTGGTTGTCATTTTATTCTCGCGATTAAGCTGCCAAACTGGACATTAGTTGTGACATTTGTAAAGATAAATTGTGTGATTCAAGTTTTAAAAGTCTTATCTTTTCATTTTACGATAGATGAACAGAGAATTTGTGTGAATATTTTGGAACAACAACAGAAGGATATATGCTATTAAAGACGACAGCTTTCAGAAAAATCCCCCACATCTCTTCTAATTTTCACCTGTTGCCACCAGAATCACAATTCCCACTCCTCTGACAGTTTTTCACCTGTATTATTCGTTTCCTTCTGTGTTCTTCCACTCCCCTGTGTCAAGTAATTTATCACTCCCCACATCTTCTCTCCTTTCCCATTTCCAACCCTCATGTGCTCCTACTTTTTAGCCCCCCCATCCATCTCTCCCCAATCTTTTTCCCTATTCCTTCCTTCTTTTTCTCACTTTGTCTCCCTCTCTACTCTCCGCTGGGTGTCCTGTTCCCTCTCTCTCTGGGACTGCCAGACCTCCTGACGGCTTAGTATTGATCCTTCTATCTCCTCACTAGCTATCTCTCTCCTTTGCTCTCTGTCTTTCTGACTCACTCTCTCTCTCTCTGACACACACACACACGCATACACACATTAGGGTGACAAGATAAAAGGGTCTGTTATGCCCCAAGGCAAAGCCAGCTGAACAAGAGACCAGAGGCTCTCAGTGTCTAGTGAGCGTATCAAGAACAGAAACACTTAACAAACCCAAGGCAACAGACTTACATCCATATCTCTGACAAGAGCTGTCCAAATTACCATTTGGTATATTTACAAGCTCACTTTTATCCAAGAGTTGAGCTCCGCATGAAAAAATACAAATCAAGAATCCTGGCGGTCTGAACATTCTTATTCTGCTGCCTCACAAAGCTGAAGGCAACAAGCACTTTTTTTGTTTTATTTGTTTCTTTGAAAGAAATTTTGTGCCTAATAGTGCTATTTTTAAATGTTTCCTTCAGGCAGAAATACTGAGGTAACAGGAAGTTTCTTGTTGTTTTGGTTATAAAAAGAAACTGTTCAACCAAAGCAGTCTTAGAGAATGTAGATAAAAAAAGAGAAAACTGAAATTTGAGTACAAATTTGCTGTTGCCATTGCCGACTTGTACACACCTCATAAATTTGTTCACAATTTCTAATGTGCCTGAGATCAGGGTTTTATGATGGCTGCTCCAAACAATTGATTTTATTGCCTTTATGCCTCCTGTACCTAATTTGGCATAATGCTGAGAGTCATTGTCCATTTAGATCTGAAAGTTTGTAAGCTTTAGCTTTCTAGATGATGTCTTGGGTGGAAATTCTAAGACATTATGTTAACTTGTGTTTTGGCATGATGTTATTTTCTCACAGTACCATCTATTTTGTTAAGTTCACCACTCCCTCCTGCAATAAATCCTCAAATAAGCATACTGTAGTTAAGCACATACTTTACAGTTGAGGTTGCGCTGTCCTTGCCAAATTTTCTTTTTTTTTTCTCCAATGTAACAATGGTCCTTTCACCCAGACAGCTTAATTTTTGTTTTGGTGGGCCCCAGGACATGTCTCCAAAGATTATGATATTTGAGTGTATTTGAAATTTTCTGCTGCATTTGAAGTTATGGCTTCTTCGTGGCTGAATGGTCTTTCAGGTTATGTTTATACAGGACTTGTTTCATTGGAGGATGGCATGTTCCAACCAGGCTCAGACAGCATATCCATGCAACTTTTCTTTTTGTTTCGACTTTATCCACACATTTTGCACAAAAATCTGCTTTTTCACTGTGACACAGGACTCTCCTTCCTGAATTCAATAATGGCTGGACATTGCATGCTCATTATAGTTACATATAATGAGCATGAGTGTTTGGAATATTACTTTGTAACAAAAGAGAAAAGAGGATAAAGATAAGAAACATCAAAAAAGCTCTACCAAGCAACAAGAAAAGATTTAGTATTTGGAGAAAAAGAAAAAAAAAATCTCTAAATTGTTAGGCAGGGTGAAAAATACCATTGAAAGTTCTGTTTGTTTACATTGGGTGTCTTTTCCCCATGAATTAGGAGACAACCTTTCATATTTGTAATTGTAAGATTATAATAATATTCAATAAATTAAAAGATGTGATCCAATTAGGTTTGTTTGGCAGATTAAAAGTATCTTTTGAAAAGCAGTCTTTACAGCTTTCGTAAGCTCATCGTCCTGAATTAAAAATGCTTATCTGGTCTGATGTATTATTTAAAATATTAGCATCAAGCAGAAAATCATCATAATAAAATAAATAAAGGGTCAGAGTTTGGGTCAATCTATTTAAAGTGTTTCACTTAGTGAAATGAGTCAATGATATTTAACCTTTTAATAGTATTCTAATTGACTAAATATGACAAAGCATACTGTGAATTTGTGCTGCTGTTTTGTGTCGCTGTGTTCTAAAATTAGTGTCCTGTTTTCCAGCCGTCACAGTGAAGATTTAAACTGTTCTGCTTTTGTTCAGAGCATCTTTTTTAGAAGTCAAACAGCACATATTTCAGATGGAAATACAAGCCTAACCTTTCACCGTGCCAGCCCTTATGCCACACCGAACACTGTGCGCTCGAAGCTAACAAGAGTCTGTCAGGAATCGATATCTGGCATGAAAAACGATGTGACTTTCAGCTGCCGTGGCCGCATCAATCACACTATTACCATCAGCTCATCTCTCGACACCAACTTGGAGTCATCCTTCCCGCCCTCCCCTCCATGCTCTCTACTCAGCTATATCCCGTTTTCCTCTCCTTCTCCTCTTCATCCAACCTCTCTTTCTCACTCACTCTCCTTCCTTTTCCTCCCTCTCTCCCTCCCTGCCAACTCAGCGGATGCCCCTTGTCACATCTCCTATTTCAGCCTTCTGAAGTTTCCTAATTGATCGCAATTAGAGCTGCTGCAGAGTAAAGCGATGAGGAGGAGGAGGTGGAGGAGGGAGGGGAATGGGTGGGCACAGAAACTGAGATGTGGACAGAAAGTGCGCGTGCATGTGTTTTAAATGACACACGGAAAGTGATAAAAATGAATCATCTTCTTTTAAGGTCATATACACTGCATATTGTACAGTTATTGTTGCTGCTGGACCAAGTTTGACCACACATTGTTTTTATTATGGGGTTCAGGAAAGGTCAGAAAATATAGAAAAAGCCAGATGGGAGGAGAGGAGAAAGAATAAAGACACAAGAATGTGATACTAGATATGAGAAAAAAACAGCGGTCAAGTAAACCCAGAACATTGGTTTGGTCCTGCTTTATTACGTTCAAGATTTATTTATTTTTTTGCATTTGAGTGTGTGTCAAAGTGCAAGAACTTCTCCATTAAAGCAGTATTTAGATTTGCAGACAAACTAGAGTGGCAATGTGACATTAATTTTTGAACATATTTAGAAAATGTTTTCAGCAACAATCAGAATGAGAATGAGATAAGGGCTTGATAAATCACGAGCTTGTTTAAAAAATCTGCAATTAGTTTAAAATGTTCTATTTGGAGTCTCAGTAATATCATAATAAGTAAATCTTTAGTTTGATTACATTTATTCATTAATTAGAAAAAATAAAATGACTTTGCACAGCAAAAATTTGTGCCACAGTTAAAGACCTGACCAAAAATTTAGATAAAATAAATGGAATTGATCTTTTTTTTTTTTGTTATTTATTGATTCTAGTCTCTAGAAGTGCTGTTGTGATCCATGACTTGACCTGTGTCCTTACATGACAGACCTGTATTCATCTTGGCCATTCTACGACCCGAACTAAGGAGAGCTACAGATATGAAAACTCAGAAGTAAACAAAGAAAAAGATAAAATGCATGAAAAATAATTTTTGCATTAACACGTTTGGAAAATTTCTTTAGAGGCAGACTTGAGCGTTTTTTTTCTTTTTTAAAGAAAAGTGACAGCCGAGGGTGACAGACAGAGCGAGCAGAAGATTTGTAATAGGCAGATAAAGAGATAGAGAGGCAGAATGACAAAGAGGAAGAATGACAATGGTGCCAAAGCTCCTTCCATCCTTCTTGCAAACATCACTGATCCCTCTTTTTCTCTCATTTAAATTCCTTTCTATTGTCATTTCAATCCAGGCCTAACCCCCACTGCCTGGCAAATACACACGCACACAATCACTCGCAAACACTCACGGACATTAGAGCGCACATGTATTGACCTCCGGCAGCAAGCGGGACAATCCCACGGCGCAGAGCTCACACATCTCTGATAATCCTTATCAGTGAGCACACGCTGACAGTGTCTGCTGGAAAGAGAGGCTCAAGTTTCACCAGACTGCAGATGTCTTTGAGACCCTATCCATGCTAACATGGGTGGGGGAACGGGGAGCAGCTTGTCACCAAACATCCCCACTCTTGTCAGCCACACAAGGGCAAGCAGAGTAGCACAGCACTCAGCTGTGCCTTGTCAACATGTATTGTTGACATGGCTAACTTTATTCTCTTCCTCGCCTAACACGGTGCAAAGACTTGTCAGCAGGCATGCTGCTATCAGTAGTGCCCGCTTGAAACATTCTCAAGGCATCTAATAGCACAAACAAGCCTCGAGTGGAATGTCTAGTCAGCGTGGTTAGGACATGGTTCATTATTACAAATTTGGGGCGCATCATTATCTTGTCAGCACCTCCTTGTCAGAAATGAAAGCTGATCCTGACCTAAATACTGCGAAGGCAAGCAGCAAAGGAATTTTCTAAAAGTGGAACATTAATAGGTTTGTATTATTTCTTTCATCAATGCTCCAGTAATAAAACCTGAATGTCTAGTCCAGTACTGGAAATAATGACAGATTATCTGGTATGTATTGTAAATAAGATTCATGACATTTGTTGTCAAAATCGGAGTCAGAAAACCGTTTCAGAATTAAACGGTTTTCCAAAACGGGTCATTTAAATGTAGTAGACTGTCTGAGGCAGGGGTCAACGAGTCCCATGGCAATGATACATTTACCACAGATTGACTGGAAATCTGCAGAAAGAGCTATGAAACAACAGACAAACAAACAACAACAACAAGCAATTTATTTGAAGTTTGTCAAGAAAGGGACACATTTATTCAATCATAATTATACGAGAGATACAAATTATTCCTGTATTGCCATTACGAAATGAAAACTATTACCGCCTATTCTTTCTGAAATGTCCCTCATCTACATGTCTTTGTTTAGAACGTTAACTTGAAAACTCTATTAAGAGGTGTTGTGGGGAAAAATGAAAGGAAATTACCCATTTTGAATAGGAGGAAAATTTATCCTGATGCCTGACACAATGAGTGAACTTGGAAGAGCTCTCAGGTCATTTTAAATCCATTAGGACAGAACAGGCTTTTAGGTAACATGCACACACACGCAGACATCCACACACACGGATTTGCGTACTTGTTGGTGAAACAGTGGCTGACGCAAGCACAGGCAAAGATGAAGAAAATTATTTTTTAAAAATGTACTTGTCATAATTGTAGAACCAAAAAGTCAATTTCAAAGTCAATTTAACAGCAAAACTCACTTGCAAAGGAGGAAATCAGGAAGTGAAACAGACAAATCAATGCCAATATGATTTGAAAGGAAAATATGAATCTGTGTGTATGAGGGACTGCATGCATGTGTAAAGGTGATTCTGCCGCCCGTGCAACCCAGGGAGATCAAAACACAAACTCTCACATTACTGGTGACCCGTCCAGGCCCCCTGCCAGTGACAACCATCAATAACACCACCACACTCAGACACACTCATCAGCAGGAGATCCATGCACTTTGCAGTGCATGTCAGTGGGAACTATTGCAGTGGTCAAAAACAAAAAGGAAATGTTGCATCTCCATCGGCTGTCTCACATCTACAACTGATGGAGGCTTCTTTAGATGCTGAGTGAATAGTTGTGAGGCAGAATATACATCAGAATATACATCACGTTTTTAGCTATTCCTTCTGATCTCCCCTCCTGAAGATCAAAATTGTATTGCAGAAGATTTTAGAAATGATAAATCAAACGGCCAGTTTATTACTTAGCCCTCTACTTACAACACTGGAACCCTTTACATGGAAATGTAAAGGGTAACTTTGTAAGTAATGTTAGCTCATCCCCCTTGGAAAGTTGCTAATTTATACAAACTTTGAAGTAAAGACTTCATACTTCTTGATGTCATCTCCCAAGTCCAATAAAAATAAAAAAATTAATTAAATTTCACATCTCATTTTACCTGTGAAAACACATATATGCTGATCTGAGTTTTATTTCCTCTAAAGTTTATCTATTTATTCCTATTGTCTGTACATTTTGAGCACGTGAAAACGTCTAGTTCCTTGTTTGTGCAGGCAATCTTGGCCAGTGAAGTTGATTCGAATTCTGCAGCTCAATATTTTTTTACAACAGAATTTTGATTGGCTGATTAGATATTTTCTATTGTACAAGTTATTAATTAAACTTGAGCATTTCTTTTGGACTGATAAAGAGATTAGTTCTTCTGCAAATGTTGACAAGTCTGAGCTAGGTTTTTGGCTCTTTATGCCCGTTTACATTTTAATTGATAAAAACTTTTGTGTGTGTGTGTGTGTGTTTTCTGCATCTGTGGATTGCATGCATCGCTACCAGATCCGTTATGGCCTTCATTTATTTGGTCCATGTCTATAATATATTATTAATCATACATATAATTTTTTCCAATACAAATGTCCCTGTTGTATTGACAACGGACTCTGTTAAATCTGAAATTCTGTAAATAACCTTCAACTTCTGAGACATTTTTTTCAGTGACAGAGTATTTGTTTCCTCATCATTTCACAAGTCCAACATTTCTGCATTTTGCTGGTTTCTTGTGAACGTGCATCACTGCAACCACCAGGCCACCAGACAGACGATCCCGAGGGAGAGAATAAATTCTTGAACTTGGACTCAATTATGGCAATGGCTGAAAAGAGATTCTCAGAGTAATTATGCTGCATTACACCTGTTTTTCAGCATAAGCCTAGAGCTTCAGCAGTCTACTGGTTAAATCCACTGGCACAGGGGAAATATGAGTGGGGGGAAGCACATATGCAATGCATACTAACCCCATCCCCCTCGTCCACAATTGAAGTCAAGCTGCCCAAAAGCAAGGCTCATAAACTCCCATTTGTTGTCTGCAGCAGTCAAGTGGAAAACAATTTGCATTTGGTAACTCTTTATGCAAATATAATTTTTCATTTATGTATAAATCTATTATGAACGACTTCAGGCAATTTTTAAAAATAATTTATTTTAGTGATATTTAATTTTAGCTTTAGCTCTGGATGAGTGAATAAAAGTGTGAATGCATACTATCCTTGTTCAAAGTAGTGCGGCAGGCTTGGACTTCCCTGTATGTAACCCAATAGTCCTGAGGTGTCTGAATGCATTGCAGTGGCCTGCATGGAATCTGGATATCTGTCTACATGTGTGTCCATACCGTCTGCATATTTCATGTGCATGTGGAGGGGTGTGCATGCGTGTACAGGCATGCCAGAAAGTTCCTCCCGGGTGGAGGGTAATATCTGCATTCCAACTTTTTCTGTATCTGACCATCGACATAAGCATGTCGCTGGCATTTCTGGTCAGAAGAACTTTATACGGCTCCCCAGAGTTCTTTCAACACCGACCGCTCCACACACACTCAGACTCACACATCCTTCTGCTGACACATGCATGTCACCACGGCAACCAGATACAACCTAAGATGTGATATTGACAGAGTAGCAACAGTACCGGTGGTCTCAGAGGCTCCAAACATGCAGATTTCTCCTAATTATTTTAGAGAAAAACTCTTGAGAATCTTGAAAATTCTGCAAATCTTAGAATGTAGAGTTATTTGTACGAGCTACTGCACACACAGTGGGGGGTTTTCTCACACGTGGCTTACATTGTTAACTTGATCTTGAGTGTTCATTGTGAATGTAAGCTGCTTCAAAAGAGTAAAAGGTTTTGGAATTGATGGAACGAAATCATAAAATTTTACAGCAACAGCTTATTGATGAGATTTTTTTTTTTAATCGTTCCAAGGTTCCAACTCTCAAAAACTGTGAAAAGTTCAGAAATACAGAAAGGGAAAATTGGAAGAAAAAAAAATAAAAGATCTTTGCAAAAATCCAAAGACAAGAATTAGATTTACCATAGACTGGAGTAAATGTTGGCTCCGTCTTCCTCTTCACCCTGTCAGATAAAATGCAGTCAGTCATTACGTTTAGGATTTGCATTGAGTCTAAATGTATCTCATCTGAAAAATGATTCAGCAGAAGGTAGAAAATAAGATTTAATAACTAGTCACACAGCCTAACAATAATACAGAATTTCAGGATAGCCAGCCACAATGCCATGCAAAAAATGTTCAAAAAACTTGAATGTTTTCACATTTTGTTAAATTACAACTACCAAACTTCCAACTTGGAATGCAAACATAAATTTCTGAATAGAAATGCAGCATCAAATTACCCTTTCATCTATCTAATGAAAACATTACAATGGCAAAAAGTGGAGTCAGGTGGCATAAGCTTCACCACAAATGCACTAAACCTATGTAGTGATTTATAGTTGGCTGAACAGAGTAAAGCAGTGTTGAAAACAACTACACATAAAAAAAAAACACTTCAAAATACTGTATTACAATGTGTCTGTTTATCACATATAGTACAAATAAACACAATATTAAAAAAGTTGTAAAAGTGACAACAGGAACACAATGTATCCATATATTTTGTTATTGCAGACAGAAAATAATATTCAGCTATGGACCTCCTGAGATGGTGCAGGGAGATGCATTGCCCATCAGAAAGTGGCACCGCAACCCCAAGGATAAATATATTTGTATGTAGATATAAAATTTATAGTTTTTCAGGCTTTGGTTTAGGTGGTAATGGGGAAAAAAAGTTAACTAATGTCTTCAATACTGAACACTTTGCAGCAGTCTTATATCCACAGTGCATTCGCCATTTCTATCCATCTGGTTTCAATTCTTTCCACCTGCCCATCAGTCTGCAGCCATGGATAGGTGAGCCTATTACACGCTTCTCACACTGTTCAGGAGACAGACTTCTACATGCATGCACACCCCTCCACTCCCACAACATACATTAGCTTTTACTTTATGGTAATTTAACTTGTCATGCACATCAGCAAAATCTGCTCCTCTGTAAAACGGCTGTTAGTGAAGCCACACCAGGGCTGATGAAGTGATTCAGAGTCCAGAACGAGGAGCTCAAACAACCTCTTAACCAGCAAACACAGGACACAAACTAGCACAAAGTCATAGCATAAATTGTGCTTTAGAATACCATTCTAACCTCAGGAATTCTCAGAAGAATTTGGAGGAGAGTGCCTGATAAATAAAGCAAAATTAAATGCAGATAAGCAATGCAACTCTGACTTGTGTACTTGTTTAACTCAAGTAACACACAGACATTCTGTGAATGGATTAAATAAGTAAGAGCAAAATCATTCCACACTTTTCAGATTGAGGGTAAAAATAATAACTATATGCTGGAAAAATATACACTAGATCCTAAATTTCAAGATTTATTTGAGGATACCATATCAGCTAAAAGCCAAATATAATGTGATTTGTCATTGCACATTCCTCATTATTAATCCTTAACATGAAAGAATTAAATCCCTGGAGGATGAGAATAGACATATATGTATTTTTTTTTCCTTTTTTTAGTCTTTAATTGATTTCTTTTCATAATTTATCATCCTTAAAATGTATTTAATTTTGCCTTTATTCTGACATATATTTTATATTAAGTTTGATTTAATTTAACTTAATTTGATAACTAATTTAACAAATTAGTTGCCTATCAAATTATGTGCTGACCTACCACATAAAATCACAAAAACATCCATTCAAGTTGTTGTACGATGACAAATATCTGGGGATTTTATGAAGTATATTGCTTGCTTTTATTAATTCATCTATTGCAGAATCAAGGGTCACCATAATAAATGCAAGTCAGGGCATCAGTGTCTTCAAGGTCATTTCTTTCTGTCCCAGACCAAGGGTGACTGTTTCGCTTGCAGACAAAATAGAAAATAAATAAAAGGAAAGTGAATTTGCTGATACTGCTGAGCTCCAATGTTGCAGGATGTGCTATCATGTGAAACATCACTTTCTAGTCAACTACACACTTTCTCTGCACATGCAGTATGTTTATTGCACCTCAATCCACCTCTCAGCTTGTCTTGACCTCCTTTGCTCTCTCTGTCACTTTGCCCCACTATGAGTTTTTCAAGCTCCAAAAGCACTTTTTGTCTTTTTATCTTGTGTGTCAGTGTTCCCCCCAGACCTTGACACCAGCTGTACTATTTCAGTTCAGCAGCTCCTGAACTCTCTGGGTGACACATTAAGCTCTATGCAAGCGGAGAACAAACAAATATTGTCAGAGCTGAATAGTACAACAAATGTCACAAAAATAAAACCAAGTACATCAGCAAAAGAAAATAAAAAAAATAAAAAAATCCCACTGGCCTCTTAGCAGTTCCAAAGAGGTTGCATTAGCAGGTAAGTCTAAGATTGCTGGGATAAGAGAAGACTGAATCATGATCATGCAAGTAAAAGAATAAATAAATAAAAAACACAAGAGAATAAGTGAAAAGTCTAAATGTGCTGTAGCTACGAGAAAAGGGATTAAACTAAATTGGAGAAAGTGTGAATAGTGAGAAACGACTTTCAGAGATAATTACACACTCAGCATGTGTCTTTTCACCACCCCAATAACAGATCACATGGTTTCACAGCCAAACACACCAAAAGTCCATAATAATGCACAGTTACAAAACATAAATCAAAATGTTGCAGCATCATCACGGGCACATTTTTATTTCAAAGAACAAAACTTGATAAAAATCTTTGAATGATCCAACATTTTGATTTATGAAATACTAAAAAGTCTTATAGTAAGCTTGGTCTCTAACAGTGGCATGACCTCTTACCTAGTTTCCTGGTCATACAATAAACTTTGCAAATATTTAAGCTGCCAGCTAAAAGATGGGATTATGCACATGCATTTTTCTGCTTCTTTTAGTCGATTATCAAATGAAAAAAAATCACTTTTGGGAAGAGAGCATTATTCATTCACTGACGTACAAGATGGCTCACACTGCTGCTGTAGCACTCATTTAGTCCAAACAGAAAAGTGTGAATTCATTTTCACAAAAATTGTTTCAACTTAATTCAATATCTTCATATTGTACTGATTTTCACCAGTTACTGCAACTCTACGACAAACCTGATCCATCAGTACCCCATATTCCTGCCTTATTTCCCTTCCCATATACATCTTTACAGCCGAGCCTGACAAATTATGTGTGCAGTGCAATAACGCTCATAATAACCATAAACTATTAAGGCTAAAAGTGGCCTGATACAAAAGAAACTGTGACCGTAAGTTTATGAAAAGTTGGTCAAAATGTGATGTCTTAGGGTGGGGAATCTAAACATAAAGAAATAAATCACAACTTGTGCATTTATTTGAGTTAAGTACGGTGGGTATATTTTTAAAGTATGCGCACCGTTTTAAATCGTACAAGTATAATGGAATGATGTGTGAAACATATAATCTGCTACCTTTGTTATATTACGACATATCAGTGTTTTGTTTTGTTTTACTTTTTGTACTGATTGCTCAATCATCTGGAGGCCCCAGGTAAAAGTTTTATGTTTAATCTGAGTTTATTAAAGCAACTTAATTGATAGCTGTAGGAAACAGGTCTAGTCTCCCTTCTCTGTCAGTAATTTTAAGGAATAAGCATGCAGAGGTAAGTGAATCCCCAATGCAGACTAATCTCTGCTTACAAATCCTGAGATTAAGAAGCATCATTGTACTGAAATTTAAATTCTAAAATTTGAAAAATTCAGCATCTGTACATTGCAAACCTACTGAAATAAGGCTTTGCTGGAGATTAAATTTCAGTCATTTATTTTAACAAAGCTACTACTATCATAGGAAGGAAAATTCAGACTGATGTTACATACTAAAGTTGTGTATCTTTGTTCTCTAATAAAAAAGGCAGGTATGCAATAGTCTGAAAGGTGAAAAGATGTTAACAGATGTTCTCATCTTACAAGTAAGGTTACTGGAAAAATTAGAACTACAGCTTGTACCATTCATTCATCGATGTTCTATACCCACTTTTCTTAATTGGGTGAATAGGTTTGTTGGAGACACAGAGAACAGACAACCATACATACTTAACGACCATTAGCGTAACCAATTAACTTAAAATCCATATTTTAGGGCTGTGGGAGAAAGCCAGAGGACATGGAGAGATCACACACATCCACCTGGAGAACATGCATACTCCAGGCAGATAGAAGTGAAACGCAATATGTTCTTGGTAAAGAACAGTGCAGACAACTGTCCTGCAATTAGTTTTAACAGAAAGTAAAAGTTGCATGCACCTTGTCCAGAGTGGAAATAAGTTTGGACAAAATACTAAAGTCAAGACAGACAATTATAAGGTTATGCTTGTATGCTGCCTCTTTGAATCAATGCACTTAAAGAAGTCCTAAAAGCAGCTGAGCAGAGCATTGTAGGAAATCCAATACGAATTTAGCTGGCAGCTCACTGATTATTTACTTCTTCCCTCTTTCTCTTTTTGTTCTCTCAGAGTGAGGCCTATAATTAGCCAATTGCAAGAAAAGGTTAGGAAAGAGTGTGGAGAGACACTGTATGTGACTGCTGTTATAGTCAGGGTCGCTGCAAAAGGGTGGACAATTTATAACCCAGTTTTTCTCCAAGATAGGTAGGTAGACTGTGAGATTATCAACCATTTAGCAGAATTAACTCAGTTTCAGACTACTGTTTGCCTCCATTTTACTAGCATTCTATGAACAAAGGGAAAAAAAATACCACAATATCCATATATATATATATAACTTGTCCCTGTACCTTTTACCATTTAACAACAGATGAGTCAGTCAGCAGCAGCTCTAACCCTTCGCTCAGTACCATCGAGAAACAACTAATCAGAGACAGCAGAGTTTTAGTGCCGTCAATCACAACCTCATGTGGCTGCTCCCTCCTTCCCTCCCTCTCCTTACTCTGTGCTTTGCTGTAGCTGGCAATAACGGTAAGTTGTTTCTCCACTATGAGCACATTTAATAGTGAGCGAATGAGGTTGATTGACAGCACTAAGACCCTCCTCCTTGTTCTTATTTG